ATCTCACTGAGTTATTTAGTGAGAAAGGTAAGCAAGCCTACATGAAAAATAGGCAAGAACCACCAAAGCCCCCATCACCCAAGAGAACCGTGAATGTTATAAGTGGGGGAGAGGATATTTATGGAGTAACATATACGGCTTCAAATAAAGTTTCCAAAGTAACAATCACGCACGGGAAGCGAGTGCGACAGACCTTAGAAGATGAAAGTATCACTTTTGATGATGCAGATACAGAAGGAGTAATCACCCCCCACAACGATGCACTGGTAATATCTTTACTTGTACATGACACTAATGTAAAGCGAGTTTTGATTGATCCAGGAAGTTCCGTAAATATTATACTACTAAGGGTGTTACGTGAAATGCAAGCTGAAGACAAAATGATACCAAAGGCCAATACCTTGTCCGGGTTCGACAATTCAAGTGTAGTAACAAAAGGAGAGGTAGTTCTAACAAATTTTGCTGCGGGTGTTGTTAAAGAAACTAAATTTCAAATAGTAGATATGGAAATGGCTTATAATATGATCATGGGGAGACCTTGGATCCATGATATGGATGCTGTCCCATCAACTCTACATCAAGTTATTAAATTCCCATCTCCATGGGGAATATGCCAAATCAGAGGTGATCAACAAACATCTAGGAGCATCAATTCCGTTGCAGATTCAATTGTTAATGGTGGAGACGAATAGCAATTACAGAATTTAGGTGAGGGTAACATGGAAACAACCTCACCTGAGCAGAAGCAAACAGATCTGAATTCAAGACCTGATACCATTCAAGAACCGGAGGAGAATGATAACATCAAAACAACGATAGAAGAGCTAGAGGCTGTGGTGTTATTTATACATTGGCCCGAGAGAAAAGTGTACATAGGAGCTAATCTTAGCCCGGAGGTAAAACGTAAGTTAATTGAATTTTTAAAAGCTAGTGCAGACTGTTTTGCTTGGTCCCATACAGACATGACAGGTATACCACCGGAGGTGATGACTCATAAACTAAATGAAGATCCATCGTATCCTCCCGTCAAGCAAAAGAAAAGAAAACAAGGAACCTTCAAAAATAAGGTGATTCAAGAGGAAGTTCAAAAATTGCTAAAAATTGGTTCGATTCGCGAGGTAAAGTATCCTAACTGGTTAGCTAATACTGTTGTGGTTCCCAAGAAGAACGGTAAGTGGCGAGTCTGTGTAGATTACACAGACCTTAATAAAGCCTGTCCAAAAGATTCTTTTCCTTTGCCCCACATAGATCAGTTAATTGATGCTACTGCAGGGCATGAACTATTAAGTTTTTTAGATGCATATTCAGGCTTGTATTGGGAAAAAACTGAATTTATATTGAAGGTGACGTGGCATGACACGTGGACTGGTCAAATGGTCAAAACATGATGATCAATTGAGGGGCACGGGCGATATCAGATACGAAAAGAAGAGAGTTAAATAGGCACGAGATGCTATTCAAATAATACGAGTCTCGTATCTATTTAACTTAATTAAAGCCAGGAGGTCAGAAGGAATTGAAGATATGAATCTGATAGCATAAAGAAGTCTAAATTCAGTATTAAATGTCAAATACGTTAGCGAATCAGCATTGAATATGAATGATTGTGTAACGTTTCATTTAATGTCATTTAATGCTCATAATTGCCTCTTTAAAACTGAGACATTATACCTTTTCCTAGAAAAATCAACTATAAAAGGAGGAGATCTCAGCATTTGTAAGGACACGAAATATCATTGAGATTACATTGAAATACAAACTTATTTACTGCTTTATTATTCTCAAAAATTCCTTATTCTTTTCGTCTCCTGATTATCAGTAACCCGATTTTTTCTCTTAATTTCTAGTTTTTACCGAAATTCTATTTTTTGGTTAAATCCACTTGTGGACTTTGTTTCTGTTGAGCCGGTTATCCAATTTGCATCACTATATCCTTCGATAACCGCAGGATATTTATTGTAATGCAAAGCGTAGTCTTGGGTATATTCCAAATATCCCAGAACTCGTTTCATTGCTACCCAGTGATGTTTGTTGGGATTACTTGTGAATCGACTAAGTTTACTTATCGCACAAGCTATATCAGGTCGTGTACAGTTCATGATGTACATTAAGCTTCCCAACACACGAGCATACTCCAATTGAGATGTACTTTCACCTTTATTCTTTATGAGATGATGATTTAAGTCAATTGGAGTTCTTGCACTTCTAAATTCCAAGTGTTTGAAATTTTCAAATACCATTTTCACGTAATGTGATTGAGACAAAGCTAGACCTTGAGGAGTCCTCTGGATTTTAATTCCTAGAATTACATCGGCAACTCCTAAGTCTTTCATATCAAACTTACTAGCAAGCATGCGCTTAGTAGCTTGAATGTCGGCAATGTCTTTGCTCATTATTAGCATATCATCAACATATAAGCAAACAATGACTATATGATTTGGAACGTTCTTAATGTACATACATTTATCACATTCATTAATCTTAAAACCATTTGACAACATTGTTTGGTCAATTTTCGCATGCCATTGTTTGGGTGCTTGTTTTAGTCCATAAAGAGACTTAATAAGTCTACACGCCTTCTTTTCTTTTCCCGGAACCACAAACCCTTCAGGTTGGTTCATGTAAATTTCTTCCTCAAGATCACCATTTAAGAAGGCTGTTTTTACATCCATTTGATGGATTTGAAGACCATACAAGGCGGCTAACGCTATTAGCATCCGAATGGATGTAATTCTTGTTACCGGCGAGTATGTGTCAAAATAGTCAAGACCTTCTAGTTGTCTAAATCCTTTGACAACAAGTCTTGCCTTGTATTTGTCAATAGTACCATCGTCTTTCATTTTCTTCTTGAAAATCCATTTAGAACCCAACGTTTTGTTACTTGGAGGAAGATCAACCAATTTCCAAGTATGGTTGCTCAATATGGATTCTATTTCACCATTGACAGCTTCTTTCCAATATTGTGCCTCTGAGGAAGACATTGCTTCCTTGAAGGTACGAGGCTCATTTTCTAATAGAAAAGTCAGAAAATCTGGACCGAATGAAGTTGATGTCCTTTGACGTTTACTTCTTCTCGGATTTTCTTCATTAGGCATATCATCTATTATTTCCTCCCGAAATCGTTTTGACTTTTGGCAGGTCACTTCACTTTCCTTTTTATATGGAAAAATAGTTTCAAAGAATTCAGCACTATCTGATTCTATTATCGTATTAATGTGAATCTCAGGATTTTTTGATTTATGAACCAGAAAACGATATGCCTTGCTATTGGTTACATATCCAATAAACACACAATCAACCGTTTTTGGACCTATCTTAACCCTTTTAGGTTTAGGAACTTGTACCTTAGCTAAACACCCCCACACTTTGAAGTATTTCAAGCTAGGCTTCCTTCCTTTCCACTTCTCATAAGGAATGGATTGTGTTTTACTATGAGGTACACGGTTG